GAAGATTCAGAGTATGGTTCGGCTTTATTTTTAAATGTCCGAAAATGAATCATTTTCATGACGTTTGCAGGAACCGTATGCGCAATGTGCGTATTAAATTTGGTTAAATATCTGTGTGAATTACTCTTAAAGTTCCACTGAAAAATACTGGAATTAGTGGACTTTAAACCTGTGTAAAGACCAGGACGTTAAGGGAGGACAAAAGGTATAACAATAATGATATAAATAGCATATCATGCCTTTTGTCAGTAACTAGGCTGTTCACATGTATTTCAATCAGACTTAACTACTTCTCTGTCTTTGTCAAGTTCCAATCTTCCATAAGGTCTGAATATACAATTGTAACCCATCTTCCCATTATCTTTCGCGTAACCAATTTGATGTCTGAAGTCCCCAGCTATGAATATGTTACTGACAGTTTAATGTCACCAGGTAAGTTAAAGTTGTTTAGAAAATTAACCAATGGCATTCCTATTCAAGGGGCTACAATGTGTTCACCAGGTATTATAAATATTGTCCCTTTTTTATCTCTGCATGTCTCACTAACACTGCCTGGATTTTCAGACTTTCAGACTTCATTTATTCAGCAGACTTATAAATGGTCTCTGCTTTTAAGACGGCCACATTGAAGCAATTTATTTCTGAATTCAAATTCAGTATACCTGTCACGCACATGTTGAGCTTATCCAATGGCTAGTTATACTTTTAGAACACATTGTAACGGATAGATACCATTATTCAATATTGTATAAATTAATTGTCAACGCCATCTTGTTTGATAGTGGCGGTAATCCATAAGTCAGTGCGTTTTCGGTATGTTTGAGTACAAAAGGTGGCAATAAAATTGACCATACAACTGTATGACGTATCCTTGATTAATGTGGTAAATATATTATCTACATGTGTTAGCCATATGGGCTCTGTTGTTCTGCATTTGGTAAACATTACAGATTTGACAAGTGACAATGCACTTTGCATTTTGGACTCTCTGTGACTCAAATCCTGTAAACCCATAATTTACAAACGCTCCTTACAATACTCATTGCAAACCGCACTTTATTTCCTTTTTCCAACTGTGGAGTCTGCTGCTGACTTGTATGTTCAAGTTATACATCAGTTGATATTTAGTAGTAAATAAGTATAGGATGATAAGATAAAAAATAAATAAATAAATACGGTTTTATATGGATGTGAAATGAAAATTAAACTTGAAAAATGCATATGTAATAAAATATTAATTAGGTACTGTCAAATACACTATAGGTATTATTATCTACATTTTCTTGTCTCTGTACATTTTAAACCAATATTGACAGATACCTGTCTACACGTGAGTCTGAAGCCCTTACCTTAAATGTACACTTCTAAATTAAAACTTGAATTACACTATTTGGCATTGCATACTTTTGCCTCTAAATTGGGCAAAAAATGACGGTGATTTCCAAAGGATATTAAGCCTAGTTAACACTTTCTACATGCCCACGGCATCAAGACAGGAATAAAACTTGACTGTGAATTATCCTTTAAGCTGTGTGTATTTTTATAAAGAAAAAATATATTTTTCATGATTCAATTGTTCATCCATTCTACTTCTGTCAGTTTTGGTATTTATAACTGTCCATGTGACAGCTTTGCTACCTTGTTTTAAAGATTACACCAGTTTCCCCTTACGAAAATTTCCTATAGGATCCTATAGGATTCCTATAGGATCCTATAGGAAATCTTATAGGATCCTATAGGGCACCTGTTGTAAGTTAAAATCTTGAGAAAAATACATATCTTATAAACAAATATCACTCTAAACAAAAGATATTTGATATAGGTCAATTTTATCAGTGGAATTGTCAATTATATATCACTGTTAAAGCAAAAATGCTTTTTATTGGTTATAATGCACAATCTTATAGTCTTCTATAGGATTCTATAGAAATTCTTTAATTTCTATTTTAAAGAAATCTTAAAAAATTGATCATTTGTAAAGTAATCTTTTATGGAGAAATATTTTATCATTAGGAATGTTTTTGTACCAAATCATTGAAGCTGAAATTATTTTTTAAAATTTATGTTCAGACCATTACAAAAATTCCTATAGGATCCTATTAGCCTTTTTCATCTTTTCCGGAAATTGAAATTGCATTGTGGGTAGGGGAGCCCTGCTACGTCGAAACACTTACAGCGGTGCTAAAAACCATGGCTGGGTTTACGTGCTTTTTGTCCCGATACTACAATAACAATAAGCGAGATCGGCACATGAGATTTAATAAGTTCCCAACAAACCCGTTAGAATGAAAAATATGGTAGAAAGAAAGGAAAATATAGTAGGTTTGGATCAAAAGCAGGGCACCGCGTTTCGAAGGCCGGAAGAAAACCTATAATATTAGGAGATCAACGGTGCTTTAATAAAAAACAGAAATGCTTAGTTAAACAACGGATATAACGAACTATCGGCAAATAGAACTCGGGGGTAAAAAATGCGAGAAAAAAAAAATTATAAAGATTTGAAGAAAAAATTGAAGAATAGGCCGGGGCCTAAAAATTAAGAAAAGACTTCTAGCATGAGATTATGGAAAAAGAAAGTAAAAGCTGTGAAGTTTTACACGGGGATTCTACTTACAAAAAATTCAAGAACTTTCACGACTTTTTGTGTAACAACAAAGAGAAGGTTTGAAAAGTTTTGTATGTAATATCCTTTTTGTGTGTGTTTTATTGATAAGTGATCATTTTAAATGTTGTAGGCCCACCACAGGTTTTAGTCTCTAATAACCCTTAGCAGGGTGGGTTCTATTTTTTTTTACTTGAGACGTTAATAAAATTTTTATTATTATGTATTCAGTCCCGTATACGTATTACTAATTTGTACAAACGGAGCTCATATTATCAAGATCAACAGAGACATACGAAGAAGAAAGTACATCGGCTCTTGTTGAACGCGTTATCGGCGAAATGAAAAGTTATTTATTTCTGACCTCAATTACAAGAGAATTGGAAAATACAAAAAATGCAGAAAAGCCTTTCTATAAGCTACACGTACATAATACATGTATGGTAAAGACAAAATGGATAATAAACATAATCCAACAACGTATTTGTAAAGTAATACAAATATGCTTAGTATTAAAGTAGGCCTACGTATATTTAACTGTCTTAGATAGTTGAAAAGTATGAAATGTGTGGAAAACACTTTATTTGAATGATTTAATTGTCTGTGATTGAAAACGATGAAAATACGCATGAAAACATTTAAAAATCAAATAATTGGCCTCTTGCTATAATTTTGTTTTTGTTTCAGTTTGACAAAATTTTCATACTTGTCAGACAGAAAGGCTGACATTTTTTACCTGTCGTAAATTTTGTACATATACTAGAGTAAGACACGGTAAACTTTAATTATCGTCTGGGAAAGAGTCGAGAATTCCTGTCTCACCTATTTAACACTTAAAAGATTTTAATTACAGAGGAAAGGTCGTAGTTGTGGCCGCCCGCCTTACCGAACAATTGAACAAGTAACACCTGATGCCTTATCAGGTACCAAACGATTTAATTAGTTCACCGACGAACGATCTGCGTACACAGTAGCTTCGAGTCAAACAATGCAGGAAATCTTTTCATTTTATCACTTTAAAAATCTCTTAAGATATCCTTCAAACAAGACATAAAAATCGTAATGAATTGACACTGCCGGTGTGGCGTGATAGACCCGTGCCGTGACGAAACCGTTCTGCACATGCGCATTGAGGGTAGATTGAAAGAAGTAACTTCCTGTATGACGATGTCGTCCTAAGTAGGCACTATGTTTGCACTGAACTATGATTTTCCAATTCATAATTCAGTGGTTTTCGTCATGAGAGGGTATGTATTTGATAATCTTATTACTACAGTATACGGGGGAATGTTGGAAGTGAGCTTTTGATCGTGACTGAACTGTTTTGCTCTGTGTAAAAAAACGTGGCAGATCTAAGACTCGTACTATAAATCTTTTCACTCTACAATGTTCTTTCAATTCAGAGTTCAGTCATTTTCATTAAAAAGAAATTGTGTATGTTATAATACTACAACTTTCTCTACGGGGAAATGTTGGAAATGCATGTGCAGCTACGTACTGTAAGTCAACAGACTGCTACCCCCGCGTGAATAATCCGCCAGAACGGTTTATTCATGACGACAGTTTCTTCACGTGACACCGGTACATGAGGTGATATCGCCACAGCTTGCATATATACATGTACAAAATTGTGAAGACGTAGGCCTGCGCACCTGTGTACGAGTCTACTGGCTATTTTGATTTTATATATAAAAAAATAACGAGTCTCTTTCGCATATCTTTATTATCGGAAGCATTTAAAAGAACTCCGAAGCTTTAGTTCGTCATCACTATTGAATGTACAGCCAAGGCTCGGACGCTTAGGTGAAGTCTAGTTTTAAAGCGCATCGTATTTAAACTGAGAAAGAAAATATTTAATTGCTTGATTCTCCGTCCAAATAGCTGTTTCTTGCCTACAGTTTACGCATTTCTGTGCTTCAGCCACCTTTTTAGTTTGACAGAAAGCAATGCACGCTTCATACGACCTTTTTTATATGCGCACCTTGTACATCATCTACACCTAGCATTGCCATGCTGGAAACAGCAGAGGACCACTATGACCCCTGTGGCGCGCGGTTCCTGTCATGCGGGGGATAATCCCAAACTTGACTCAATTCAAGTTTGATCTATGCGTAGCTGGTAAAGAATAGAGAGCAATGGCCATCCCCGGCTCAGCATCACTTTAAGTGCCTTTAAATGGGGCAAGAGTACCCCTGCTTTTATGCGCATTCCATCTTTAAAAGCAAAACCAATGTATTTGAGATTTATGTTTTCTCTTTATCACCAAATACACCGTTTCAATCGTTCCATTCTGTGGCAAAATGACCATATATGTAGCCAATTTCTTAAATTCTAATAAACCGCCGCCAGTGGAATTCATCAGTCTCCATCCTCATAACCAGTGATTCTTAAACTAGAATATTTGAATGAGATTTATTGATGGTAATTATGCGCAGGGTATTTAATTAATAAGGTGCACCTTGTCAATTAGAAAGAAAGCAATGATATTCCATAGAAATGAAACAAAGGTCTTTGCCAAAGGTACTATGTACAGTGTAATATATGTCTTTCGAAATATCTAAGTTGATATCCAAGTGTTGCCTCTCCCATATTCCTGATATTCGATACATCTTTTTACGGAAGATAACTTTACACAATTTTAAGTTCCATACTCTCTTCTTTCTGTTTTCTGTGTCTCTCTGATGACGTCAGCAAGCTTTTGAAATGCAAAATCTATCGTGTCCGGTGCCACGTAGGAAAATGAGACCCGCACAAACGGCGAGGGGTCACTTGGTTTGGTAGAAAATGCAAACCCGGGTGACACGCCAATCTGATAGTGCTTGCGAACTTCTTCAACGATCTTTCTGGAGTCTTGTACATCCTTTATCCTGAATAAAATATAAACATTTCTTAAACAGAGGAAGGAAAATAACAATAACAGCTGGCGAAGATGTATTTATGCCCTTTAAAACAAACCCTAAAAAGAGAAGAGGGCATAATTTAGTGTATAAAAATAATAATAATAAACTTTATTTAAAGAGGGTAAAGCATGTTAAGTGTACACATTTTTCTTACACATGGCCCTCTGAAAAGACATAGCTCTTGTTTTTCGGAACGAAAGTGAAAGTAAGGAAAGTAAAAACTCATTCAGACCGGATCCAGAAATAAATCCCAGCTTCCGGTAGATCCCACTCTGCTAGACCGCTCAACCATTTCTCTGCCGAACTCTGCATGGCGTCCCTCTGTTCTTTATAAACGCTTTGAATCTTTTTAACATGTTCCTGGAACCCGTCCTGTCCCCACGCCTCCAAGGCCATCAGCAGCGCCACCTGTGACAAATTACTAGAATGTTCTTGCGTGGAACCAATGTGCGCCACGATTTTGTCCACCAGGGGCGCTGGCCCACTGAGGATGCCAAGACGTAACCCCGGAGACACGGTTTTCGAAAACGAGTCTGCTCTCATTACTCTCCCGTCTGTATCAATGGAGAGAAAACTCGGCACACGAGAGTCTGTATACTGTACAAAGTAGTAGGGGTCGTCCTCTAGAATGAGCAAATCAAACTCCTTGGCTATGGCGTATATTTCCTGCTTACGCTCTAATGTCATATTCTCCCCTGTCGGGTTACCCCCCGTGGGTACCAGATACATCAACTTGGGGAAATCAGAATTTGGATCCTTTACTTCATCGGGAGTCCATTTGGATAAAGTTTCTCTCAAGTGCAAGGGTGATAGTCCACGTCCGTCTCCCGGTACGCCGACAGGTTTGGCGCCAAGAGCTTGCACTAGGTCGATGGCGGAGGCGTAGGTGGGATTCTGGACTATGATGGTGTCGTCTGTCTCCAGGCACATTTCCAGCACCTTGAAGGCAGCCTCCGCAGCGCCGTTGGTGACGATCACGTCGGTGGCATTTTCACCTGAGGAAAGAGACAGTTTAAAAATGGCGCATTACTTTTTTTTTTCTAATATTGTAAAAAAAATTTCGGCGCTTCAATTGTTATATTAGTTTTTTTAATTCCAATATAGAAACTGTCTAGACTGAATATGAATAACAACGACCTATAAACAAAAAAGTAACCAACAAGGCTCCAACAGAAAAAAAGTATATATATTATATGAATTGCCATAAACCTCTAAAACGTTGTCTTGTTTGCTTGAAAATGAAATATAGAAATAAAATACGAAGTTGCAAGGATATCTAGGGTTAATTATACAAAAATAGGCAATGAAGAGCGTTTGCATACCAATTTTCGATGAAGTAAAGCAGCTGTTTCTGGCCCTTACCTTACCTCATTACTATTATCACTATTAATTTGCCAACTTTTCCTAGAAGTAAGTTACTCTAGATCTGTGTGCTCCAGTTCAATTGAACTTGTACTCGCTATGTTCCAGGCTCTTACCTCGTCCCCAGCATGGAGGGCTGTGATGTTCCAAAATGAAGTTCTTACACCAGTCCCGGAACGGAGGGTAACCGGTAGTATTGCTATACTGCTGCACTTCCTAACTCATGAAAATAATAAAAATAATGATATATAAAAATAAATGAATAAATAAAACTGATAGTATTAAACGTGAAATAAAGTCTATCAATATATATCTCACATTCTCAATATTCAGAGATCACAGTTGACCGAGATTTTATTTTATTTTTATTTATTTATTTATTTATTTGTTGGGGGGAGTGTTGCGACTGAGGCATTGGAGGGATATATTATTCACTCAGGATGAACGCCATGTCTACATGATTTTGCGCATGGTTAGCATATTTAACCTACGTCTCGTCATGTCCTGGTTACAATAACAGAAAGTATTCAGCAATATGAAACACGGTTTCAGTGGCCATCATTCAATGGGCAACCCCTTTCCTTGCACAAGATAGTCACATATAGCAAGCGCATACTCCCAAATTCCCCATGTACAGTCCAATGCGTACATGTATGTACTTTAGTCCCAGACAGCTCGGCATTTGCCTTTAAAAAGACTCCCACCCTTCTGTGTAACGGGTATTTGATATAAAAAACATGCCAATATATATTATAGCTATACTTGATAACGTTGGGAATGTCGTCACACTTTATAGGACGACAGTGAAATACCGCAATATAGGAGGCTCCAAACCAACTAAATCATAAACATGCAAATGCACGCACACGCACATACGCACAAATACACACGCGCACGCACGCCAGAACACACACACACACACACACACACGGGCGCATACAAGTACTCGATATATACGACAGTCGGAGTCCTGTTAGAGAGATGTGCCGGGGAGTCACGTACAGCATGAGCAGTGTCACATAAGGGCACAAACACGTTTGTTATGAATGGAAATAAAGCCCAGATTTAAATATACCAGTATGTCTACCTTGCGTAACATGATGCAATTTAACTTAAGTCAACAGGGTCAAACCAAGGAGTTATAACAGAAGGAGATTACACGCAAGCCTATCTATTGTCCGATGTCTGTTACGGTGGGCGGAGCTAGCTACGGGGGGCCTCCTGTCTCAAGGTTTCGTCTGGGTCGCTCTCCTCCGCTTGGAGATTGATTTTATATGCGTTATTTCGCGTTAGAGTTCGAGATCAGTAGTGTCAAAGCGGCGCTGTATGCTGACGAATTTTTTCACAGGTAGTTATTTGGACGATGTGCTGGGAGGGAACGATATCATAGAAAGCGATTATAAGGTGGTGACTGAGGATGGTCGCCATGAGTTTTTTTGAGTCGGTGATAGATGGCTTTTCTTTTGCACAACACAGTGAAAAATCACCAAGGATAAGTCAAAAGAAAACGTCCCAACTGTGGTTTGTAAAAATGACATTCAAGTGAACGTCTGTCCTCACTGCCAAAGAACATAATATTAATACATAAACGTTTGGACCCTCCTGCCCTTGGGTCCCATAAACATATACATTGAGACAGTGCCTAAGCTTTGTGACTGGTTTTNGCAATATTTATTCTCCACACACCACCTCGCGAGATCAACGTGTAGCTGGACACTTACACAGTGAGACCCTACGACATAAAAGTTGCAATTTATCTTCATATTTCGTGTAGTTATGCATTTAAAAGCACTTACCTGTTTTTTTGAAAACCTTGTCCAACGTAATATCATATAAATTCTGTAATTCTCTCATTTTAAGAAACTTTTGACTGCGTTTCTGTTTGTGTCCTCTCCAAACGACAGACGAAGGCATCTATTCTGACAAACGAGATTTAAACGAGAGTACCAATTAAGCGTAACAGAGATAGGCATCCATTGTTCTCTGGGTTCTATTCATTCCGACCAATGAGAGACCGTAATACGGGCTCCACCTCCACGCGTGTAATCTCCTTCTGTTATAACTCCTTGGTCAAACATAGCTCTGGTATTATTTGTGTGTATAGAGATTGACATTCGCATGCATGTAATACGTAGAGTAAAATAAGAGAATGTTGGAAAACTCTCTCCCACACACATACATAACCCCACATGCAAGCAAGCACTTACGCATACACGCGTACACACACCCCAACGCAGGCGTGTATGCGTACTCAAACTCGATAAACTGTGGGCGCACACACACGCACGAACACACACACACACACACAACACGTGTCATGGTAAACTGCAAGTAAAGAGATCAGTCAAAATCATAGTCAAGTAGTCTCAGTTTTCTGCTAGACATGCTAGGTAGGCCTACTTACCGCAGATAAACTAAGCGCATTATAGTAGGTCAGTCTACAGAGCACTAGGCCTACTCTGTTACAGTGTTACGGAAATACATGTATATGTGAGTCATTGTCTAAATTATCTCGGTGGACAATATGCATAGGTCACACAGTACACATAGCATGTAAAGCGCACATCAGAAACCGTAATAACCGATTAAGGCCCCATCCCCACAGACACATACTGTCTGTGGATCGACTAAACTCTGAGAGGATTCTCGCTGAGTGCAATCACCACTAGATTACCATGCCTTCTTCTGGCGTTTTAAATTAAATGCATACCTACATGCAACGCTGGCAATTGTAACATTATGATGGAAACAAAAGTAGGCGTGTCATTCATTTAAGGTGATTGCAATTAGCGATTCCCTGCAGAGTTGGATCGAAGTAGGCCTACGAAGTCCGATAACGTGTCTATGAGAATTCAGATTTTATGCAAGAAAATTCGCTCTAGTAGGCCTACAAGTAGTACATGTACCTGCATGATCTCCTCTCCCAGTTCTACCTGCCTCCCGTCCTGCAGGCGGAGCGTGGCCGTCCTGTATGGGAAGAGAGCCGGGTGGGCCAGCCCTGCGTTCAGTGGTATCACCGCCTGGTCACTCTGTACCTCCTCTGTCTGCCGCCGGAGATACGGCCGCTGTCGACGTCTTCCTACAGCGCTGAGAAAACGCCGGTACGCCATGGCAGAGGGACTCGTTGCTGTAGTAGGCTACGGTCCAAAGGTTTGTTTACCTAGAGATCACCCTAGTGTTACCTTAAGCGCTGTACAGTCAGTGATGTCGGTCGACCTGGTCAGTCGAGAAGGGTCGGACTAATAATACAAACACATGGCGTGCTTGATCATTCTTTCAAATTAACTGGCGAAGTATATAGAGTACAGTAATGCATCTTTGACACCCTCTCCTTATACGCCACTCCTAATATAGGATATAACGTCTCTTGTTTAGGCAGCTTATGACCTTCTCAGCAATGACGTACCTCTTTTAACTCAGTGGAACACGAGCCGCTTTGCAGAGAATGGAATAAACAGCTGAACTTGACCTGGTTCACTGTTGCCCTTATGGTCACTGCATAACTAGGTCAACAATAGTGACGTCATTACAAGATAGGCTTTGCCTGCTGCCCATGGTCAGCGGCGAGGTAGCTCGGGGTGTGGTTAAAAAATAAATAAATAAAAATAAAAATAAAAAAACAGAAATTTCAGTCCGAAATTCAGAATGAAAATTAGTTTATGCTAAGAAAGCAAAACATCCAGTGCATTTTGATCCAAAATAAACCAATGATAGTCCTACTGATATGATAAAAAAGGAGGCCTACGAATTTTCTTGGAGCTCGAGAATGTTGGCTCAGTTCTTTAAATTATATCAATTACTAAAATTTGATAAAGTTATAATGTTCATTTTTGCAAATGAAAGTTGTTTTACATTTTATTGAGGCCTATAAATGACTGATAAAAGCAATTAAAAGACATTGTGACATTATTAAACATCAAAGAAAAATTCACTGATTAAATTAAATATTAAATCAAAACTGCTTCTTTAAAATAGTTCAATATCATAAAAACATTAATTAATTTCAACAATTTAAGTCGGCTTATGTTCATTTCTTTAATTATCTCAATAACTGAAATTTTGTATCCTGTTTTTATTTATTTATTATTTATTTATTTATTTATTTATTTTTTTTTTTGGGGGGGGGGCGTATGGTTTGTAAATTGGAAAATTAAAATGGAAAGATGTGTTTTAGCACTTGGGGTTTGTAAAAATGCGTTAAATTATAAAACCTGCCAACATAGATAACAGCTGTAAGAGATGGAAAAGAACAAAAGAACGCAAAGTTGACATTTAAAGGACATTTTGTACTTCTCCTTTTTTAGAATCCATTAAATGACTGATATCTGTTTTAGCTATTGTTCATAATATTTAAATGACTATCTCACATCTTGTTGTATGCATGCGTAGGAATAATGTTTTACAAGAAGAATAGTGCTTGCTACTGCGGGTGACAGACGATAACGAAGACTACTTTTGCTGCCTCCTCTTCTTTGCTTAGTTATGATAGTTCGTTACAATGTGTACAGTATATTGATACATAAACAAAATGTGACTGCTTGAAACTGATACAGATAAATCAAATAAATAAATAAATAAATAAATAAATAAATAAATACATGACGCACGTTCACTACGGAATAAATAATACAGAGAACGAACATCTGTTCCTTTTTCTAACCAAATTTAAACAAATATACAGTTTAATTAGAGACATCATCATTACAATAACAATAACAAGGTGAACTGAACATTTGATTCAATTCCTACTTGCTCAACTTATAAGCAATCTCTTTAAGAGAACATATATTTAACATAAACAAGGTTGTGATCTGTGCTGTTTAAACTCGCCAGTAACGTGTCGCTATAACTTCCTACATGTAGCTCCAACTCGCCCTTGCTCCGATTTCAAATGGTTTGACTTTGTCCATGTCGGGGACAGTGGTGATGGCCCATAAAAAGTCAGTTAACAGGATTTATCACGAAGCCAAGTTTAATTTTTTTATACATATAATTAACATGAATAAAGTTTACCAAGCCTCAATCATATATACCGCACCTATGAACCTGCAATGTCCCCGTTAATCATTAGTTTTATTTGATATTAAAGTAAATTGTGATACATTTCCATCTAATCGATTGTCTTATTGATTAAAGGTTAAACGTAAAAATAAATTATTATATAAATATACTACACGTGCTTTCGATTTGCTGACGTTGTCGAATTCTTAATCAGACAAATATATAGTGACAAGGACGCCGTTTTGGAGATTTTGGTCGTTTATCCATCACCCAATGCCCATACAAATGCTAGGGTATTTAAATATTTCAGTACTTATCACGCATTTTCTTATTTTCTTTATCTTTAAAAATTATAAAATGTCCCATTTTTATTTGTCAGTCAGCTATTTAATGTTTCTTTATTGGAGGTAATGTCCCTGAGCACTCGTTAGCGTCTCCTTAAATGAAATATCTAAAAGTATTTTTATGGCATCATACTTGGGCAGTTCACAAAATCCAGTTTGCAGCTGTTATCCACGCCGAAGAAGATTATTTTTGGTTGTTGGATTCACCAATCAACTAAGACTAAATGTTATTTCTGTGGCTGTCTTGCAAAACACGACAACAACTGTCCACAATATCTGACACTTAAGAAAATTAAATCTTGGACTCTGTAAGAACTTACTGGGTTTTTACTTATTTGAAGAAACTCTTAGGATTTGCATGCCATTTCTTCTTTGATGACTTCTGCCAACCGTTGCATGGCAACATCAATCTGATCAACAGAAATGGTCGAATAGCTAGCCCGCAGATAAGGACTCGGGACGTCACGATTGGGCGAAAATATGCATCCAGGAGCCATAGCAATATTGTGAGCCAGTGCTTTCTCTTCTATCAGCTTTCTGCTGTCTGGGATTGTCGTCAGTCTTTTTCAAAATAAAAAAGTGCATTTAAACAAGAAAACAAATGGCCCAGTAACGGTAATAAATGATGTACAATGATCGAAAAAGACTGTTATACCAGATTGGTTTGCAAACATCACATGTTCCCACAGTAATCTAGTACATACTTTGCATGCTTTCCGCAAATTACCCATTAAAGGGTAGTATTTTTACCAGTGCATGGAAATTCTGCACTTTATAACTGCCGTGCTTAAGGATGAATACAATTGCATACTTTTCTTTTTAGGTGTTGAAATTAAGTTAATTGTACAAGTAAAGATTCATAACCATAAACAAAGCATTACCTTATCCATAAGTACATCCCTCCTTGAGGCTCCACAAACTCCGCCAATCCAGTCAACCACTTCTTTGCAGACGACACCATGGCGTTTTTCTGGCGTTCGTACAGTGCGGAGACCTCCCGCCATCGCTTCTTTGTGCCCTGCTCTCCCCAAGCCTCAAAGATTTTGTGAAGCACCGCCTGAGCGAGGTTGTTGCTGTGTTCCTGCGAGAAACCCACGTGGGATTGAACCTTTGAAACTAGTAAATCGGGACCACTTAAGATGCCGAGACGTAACCCGGCCGTCATACATTTTGAGAAGGAATCGGCCCTCAGCACCCTGCCATCTGTATCGATGGAAAGGAAACTGGGCTCCAGACGGCTTCCAAACTGAAGAAAATAATATGGATCATCCTCAATAATGAGGAGGTTGTACTCTCGGGCAATCTCGTAGATTTCTCGTTTTCTCTCGAGGGGCAATGTGGCGCCAGAAGGGTTACTGCTGGAAGGAATGACGTACATCAGTTTAGGGACGTCAGAATGAGGATTGTCTGCGTCCTCGGGTCTCCATTTTGACATGATGTTTCGCAGCTCGCCGGGAATCATGCCATGGTCGTCTCCTTGAACCCCTAGCGGCTCAGCACCGAGCGTGAGGAGATTATCTATGGCGCTGGAGAACGTCGGAATTTCTACCAGTACCTTGTCGCCCTCTTTGACACACATTTCAAGGACTTTAGTATACGCCTCTGCGGCACCGCTTGTCACCATAATTTTAGTTTTTGATTCATCCGCATTTTCTGTAAAGAAAACACTTAGACAAGTACATACATGTATCTACACACAGGTCCTTTTTTCCTTTTTGTGAGAATTTGTGCTTCATTGTGTCTATGTCACCCTGAGCTCCAGAGANAGCGGCGAGGTAGCTCGGTAGCTAAGAAAGCAAAATATCCAGTGCATTTTGACCCAAAATAAACCAATGATAGTCCCACTGGTATGAAAAAATGTAGGCCTACGAATTTTCTGTTAATGATCCTGGATCTCGAGAATGTTGGCAGTTCTTTAAATTATATCAATTACAAAAAATTGATAAAGTTATAATGTTTATTCTTGCAAATGAAAGTTGTTTCACACTTTATTTATAAATGACTGATAAAAGCAATTAAAAGACATTGTGACATCATCAAACATAAAAGAAAAATTCACTGATTAAAATATTAAATCAAAACTGCTCCTTTAAAATAATTCAATATCATAAAAAAATTAACTAATATTAAAATATTAAGTCGGCTTATGTTCATTTTTTTAATTATCTCAATAACTGAAATTTTGTATCCTGTCGTTTTTTCATTTTATTTTATTTATTTATTTTTATTTTGGGGAGGGGGGGGCGTATGGTTTGTAAATTGGAAATTTAAAATGGAAAGATGTGTTTTAGGACTTGGGGTTTTAAAAATGCGTTAAATTATAAAACCTGCCAACATAGATAACATCTGTAAGAGATGGAAAAGAACAAAAGAACACAAAGTTGACATTTAAAGGACATTTTGTACTTCTACTTTTTAAGAATTCATTAATTGACTGATATCTGTTTTAGTTATTGTTTGTAATATTTTAATGCCTATCTCATATCTTGTAATATACATACGTACGTAGAAAAAGAACTAGTATTTTGATTTTGAATTAAAAAAAAAACAATGTTTTACAAGAAGAATAGTGCTTGCTACATGCGGGTGACAGATGATAATGAAGAATCTTTTGTTGCCTCCTCTTCTTTGCTTAGTTATGATAGTTCGTTACAATGTGTACAGTATGTTGATACATAAACAAAATGTGACTGCTTGAAACTGATACAGATAAACCAGATAAATAAATAAATAAATAAATACATGACGCACGTTCACTACGGTATCAATAATATAGAAAAAGAACATCTGTTTCTTTTTCTAGCCAAATTTAAACAAATATACAGTTAAAATGGCGTGTATATAAACTGGGCTACTTAGTGAAAAGCAAAGCACGTTTAATTAGAGACATCATCATTACAATAACAATAACAACATGAACGGAATAGTTGATTTTATTCCTACTTGCCCAACTTATAATTAAGCAATCTCTTTAAAGAGAACATATATTTAACATAGACAAGGTTGTGAACTGTCCTGTTTAAGCTCGCCAGTAACGTGTCGCTAAAACTGAGCACTCGTTAGCGTCTCCTTAAATGAAATATCTACAAGTATTTTTATGGCACCATACTTGGGCAGTTCACAAAATCCAGTCTGGAGCTGTTATCCACGTAAAAGTAATTTCGATGGTGAAATTCACCAATCAACTAAGACTTAATGTTATTTCTGTGGCTGTCTTGCAAAACACGACAACAACTGTCCACAATATTTGACACTTAAGAAAATTAACACTTGCACTCTGTAATAAAGTACTGGGTTTTTACTTATTTGAAGAAACTCTTAAGATTTGTATGACATTTCTTCTTTGATGACTTCTGCCAACCGTTGCATAGCCACATCAATCTGATCAACAGAAATGGTCGAATAGCTAGCCCGCAGATAAGGACTCGGGACGTCACGATTTGGCGTAAATATGCATCCAGGGGCCATAGCAATCTTGTGAGCCAGTGCTTTCTCTTCTATCAGCTTTCTGCTGTCAGGGATTGTCGTCAGCCTTTTTCGAAACAAAAAGTGCATTTAAACAAGGAATCGAAGGTTTCAGATACGGTAATAAATGGTGATCGAAAAAGACTGTTATACCAGATTGGTTTACAACATAAGATGACCCCACAGTAATCTAGTAAATACTTTGCATGCTTTCCACAAATGACCCATTAAAGGGTGTTTTTTTAACCAGTGAATGGAAAATCTGCATTTTAAAACTGCATTGCTAAAGGATGAATACAATTCCACACTTTTTTTAGATGTTGAAGGTAAAGTTAGTTTAATATAAGTTAATTGTACAGGGTAAAATCTATAACCATACACGTGTATCACCTTATCCATAAGTACATCCCTCCTTGAGGCTCCACGAACTCCGCCAATCCAGTCAACCACTTCTTTGAAGACGACATCATGGCGTTTTTCTGGCGTTCGTAGAATGCGGAGATCTCCCGCCACCGCTTCTTCGTGCCCTGCTCTCCCCAAGCCTCAAAGATTTTGTGAAGCACCGCTTGAGCGAGGTTGTTGCTGTGTTCCTGCGAGAAACCCACGTGGGATTGAACTTTTGAAACCAGTAGAGCGGGGCCGCTTAGGATGCCGAGACGTAACCCGGCCGTCATACATTTTGAGAAGGAATCGGCTCTCAGCACCCTACCATCTGCATCGATAGAAAGAAAACTTGGCTCCAGACGGCCTCCAAACTGAAGAAAATAGTACGGATCATCTTCAATAATGAGAAGGTTGTACTCTCGGGCAATCTCGTAGATTTCTCGTTTTCTCTCGAGGGGCAATGTGGCGCCAGAAGGGTTACTGCTGGAAGGAATGACGTACATCAGTTTAGGGACGTCAGAATGAGGATTGTCTGCGTCCTCGGGTCTCCATTTTGACATGATGTTTCGCAGCTCGCCGGGAATCATGCCATGGTCGCCTCCTTGAACCCCTAGCGGCTCCGCACCGAGCGTGAGGAGATTATCTATGGCGCTGGAGAACGTCGGAATTTCTACCAGTACCTTGTCGCCCTCTTTGACACACATTTCAAGGACTTTAGTATACGCCTCTGCGGCACCGCTTGTTACCATAATTTTAGTTTTTGATTCATCCGCATTTTCTGTAAAGAAAACACTTAGACAAGTACAAGCATGTATCTACACACAGGTATTTTTTTCCTTTTTGTTAGAATTTGTGCTTCATTGTGTCTATGTACGCCCAGTAGCTATTTGTGGCGTCATTGTGCATTTGGAATTATTGCCTTTTTTGTTACGTAGGCTAGTAAAATCATCCATAGCTAGAGACTCTCATAAGCGCTATCTCCATAGAAAGCAGCATGGGATAAATGACACACGTTGTTACACGCAGAATGGAATGTCATGACCAGTCACATGCAATGTTACATGATAAACTTAATATTTTTTGTTATGACCGTAAGGCATAACGTAAACAAGGTGACGAAAGTACGTAACAAAACTCACGATATTCACTCCCTCTCGACCAATCAGATCGGAGGAATTTTGAAGGAAACATATTATTGTGCAGGGAGGCACTATTTTAAGCTCAAATTGTACCAGAATGGTTATTATACACTTATTATATAATTGTCATAAAATACGAACTTATTCTCAGTGATACGCTAAAACTGCATATTTGCCACTCCGACGTCATCAAAAAGCATTTAAAATAACCATACTTTGACGCCCCTAACCCATTGTTACGTAATAATGTAACCAGCAATACATGAGGCTTTGCCTCGGTCATTATCACTTTTTGGAGGTCAAGAAAGCAACATATTGATTTTGGCCACAGCCAATTATAAGACATAGTATGTGTTAACATACCCCAGCAGGGCGGATCATGGTAGGATTTAATGAAACGTTCACACCATTGACGGAATGGAGGGTAGCCTTGAGAGCTGCTGTATTGCTGGACTTCCTGTAATGAAATACAGTATATGTTAAATGTGAGTCCCCCCTCTCTCTCTCTTTCTCTCTCTCTCTCTCTCTCTCTCTCTCTCTCTCTCAGCCTGCAGTCTTAATTCCAGACAGCTGAACAAGGTGAGGTATTGGTACGGCAAGGTAGTGGAAAGATGGCAAGAAGACGTAAATGATTAAGTTAAAGTGTTTGCAAATACTGACACTATTTAAGAGAACAGTGTTAACAAAGTAACTGGATTGGACAGGCGGAGAGAGAGAGAGAGAGAGAGAGAGAGGTCGACCTACCGTCATTGTATTTTCGTCCAAGTAAACCTNTCTCTCTCTCTCTCTCTCTCTCTCTCTTTCTCTCTCTCTCTCTCTCTCAGCCTGCAGTCTTAATTCCAGACAGCTGAACAAGGTGAGGTATTGGTACGGCAAGGTAGTGGAAAGATGGCAAGAAGACGTAAATGATTAAGTTAAAGTGTTTGCAAATACTGACACTATTTAAGAGAACAGTGTTAACAAAGTAACTGGATTGGACAGGCGGAGAGAGAGAGAGAGAGAGAGAGAGAGGTCGACCTACCGTCATTGTATTTTCGTCCAAGTAAACCTCCTCGCCATCTTTCAGTTTAAATGTTCCAGACAGGATAGGAAACAAGGAGGGGTTGGGCAGGCCTCCAGCTAGTGACAGCATATCAGGATTATCTTGAACTTTCTCTAGAAGACCCCTCAAATAGGGTCCTTTCTGTCGGCGCACCCCTATGCCGTTCAGGAATCTTCTGTAGTCCATGTTTGTTCTTCTTCAAGTCAGCCCTTCTAACTGTAGACTTATAGCAAGTCACGAGATACGGGTAATAATGCTATGTACGTCTGCGTTGAACATTTAAATATTCATTTGCACTTAAAACACAGCTCTCTAGACCTTTTAAACAATAACAAAGACCATTTGCACATGTTTTAACTACAAATACAGCATACCTCATGCGTCAGCACGTTGCTGAGTACAACAGCGTTCTACCCCAACGCGCTGTGTAATCAGGTGGACTTTTGGACATATAACTTGGTTGACCTTTCAAGAAATTCACAATTGCTTTATTCACCTGAGATAAATCTAAGCTTTAAGTTGCTCCTTTCATTATGCGGTCATGTCTTTTAGTGAAACACTCAAACATAACGACATTCGCAGCAAGGACTGACCCACTGACTAACAAATTAATGGTGGTAGAAGTGTAATGGTTGTAGCCGGTATAGTACTGTGCCAGTAAAATCGACGAAGAGGTCGGGCTTATTCCGGAAACATTAACAGTTAATTTTCGGCGTAAGTCAAATCGCTCCGTATATACCATCATAATGATTTGTTGCACGAGAAATTTACGTTTTAAACGTTCATTCTCCTTAACTTAACAGTGTGCACGAAATGTTTCTTTTTTTTTTACAACATTCGCGCAATGCCTGTCACGTTTACTTTGTCAATTTAATGTGACGGATCACGCGTGGTGTCATAGATAAACTATTTCAAAATTCTGCCTATAGAAGATTCATCATAGACCGCTGTATGGATCCTGTATATTTGAATTAAATAAGTAAGATTTAAACAATAACAACTTGTGCATATTCCTGAGAAGAGAAAGAGTTATGTCCTCAAAGGGAATACAAACCGGGGAAAAGTGCTAACATAGTTGTTGAGATGATGAAGACAACTTGTAAATTACAAATCGCAGACTATAAACTTTTTTAAATAAATAAATAAATAAATAAATAAATAAATAAATAAATAATTAATTAATTATTATTATTATAATAAAGAAGAAATAGAACAGCCCAATTTCCAGCCTCGCCTCTGCCCTTTTTAAGTACGTCATACTTTCTTACATTAAGGCGGCGACTTTAACGTCTCTATTCCCCAAAACAAAGCCAACACAACATATTTTAGCTCACTTAAAACAGCCACAATAGCTTCGTTTCCGTACTAAACTATATTTGTTAAGAATACTCGCTTTCTGACATTCAAGCGAAAACAAAGATGGCCGCCGGGCAAAGCCCCGTTGCCTATCGCCTATACATCCTCGGGGCCTCACGAGGAAAAAAAAATGGCAGCCTTCCTGCATTCTCATAAGTCTATTGCGACATCCTTCTCACCAAGCAAACACGTCACATTAGGACCACGTGACAAGCGCGTTGCTACCACATTTAACGTCATAGCAATGTGCTAGCCAGGTGATCCGAACGTGACGTGTTTGTTGGGCATTCCCCTTCCAATTCCAGGGTCTTGCATCTCTACAATTAAAAATTCGATAAAAAATTCCATTAATAGCTCGTATCCCTCCTATAATGTGCAACTTCCTGTCTCGTGGTTCCCAACCAACAAGACCTAATAGATCTAGACTCATTCCTTACTAACTGGTAATCATATACATGTATAAGCAGAAAATCGTTACGGAATGGTCCCAGTTCGACTAATTACATTACACATTTTTTTGTATATAATTATTTAATTAATCAATTAGTACAGCAGTACAGCAATACTACGGGTAACCCGCCGTTCCTGGACTGGTGTAAGAACTTCATTCTGGAACATCACAACCCGCCGTGTTGAAGACAAGGCAAGGGCCAGAAATATAGGACATGTAGCTATAGCGAGTACACAGCATGGGTTTAAAAATACCACAAAAACATAATTTTGCAATCCACATATAACCTTATATGCACCTTAACACGATTTAACCACTTAAATATTTTGAAGCGTATCTGATGTCGAGATTTCATCGGAGTTTAGGAAGATGTCCGCTGGTTATAATGACCGGTCAGTCCTAAATCAACCTTTATACATTCAATTAAAGGTCGAATCCAAGTGTAGAGAGGGATATTTAAAAAAAAATGAAAGCACATTCTAGGACCCCTTTATCTACATGAATGCGGAATGATATGTTGAAGCGGAAGCTTAAGTCTTTTTTTATGTAGACAGACATCCCCTATACCCTCTTCCATATATCCGGTTCCTGGTGACTTGGTAAAAGTCTGCAGGTAGACCGGCTGACTTAAACAACCAACATGGACTACAGACGGTTTCTGAACGGCATCGGGATGCGGAGACAGTCTGGATCTTATTTGACGGGTCTTCTGGAAAGCGTTCAAGATATCCCTGATATGATATCACTAGCTGGAGGCCTGCCCAACCCCTCCTTGTTTCCCATCCTGTCTGGAACTTTTAAACTGAAAGATGGCGAGGAGGTTTACTTGGACGAAAATACAATGACGGTAGGTCGGCCTCTCTCTCTCTCTCTCTCTCTCTCTCTCTCTCTCTCTCTCATCCAGTTATTATTTTTACACCTTTCTCTTAGTGTCATTATTTGCAAACACTTAAACTTAAAAAAACGTCCTTGGCATTTTTTCAATAACTTGCAGTCCTACACCGTATTCATGTACAGCAGTGTGCACATAAGACTGTAGGCTGAGAGAGAGAGAGAGAGAGAGAGAGAGTGAGTGAGAGAGGGAGGGGCTCACATTTAACATATACTGTATTTCATTACAGGAGGTCCAGCAATACAGCAGCTCTCAAGGCTACCCTCCATTCCGTCAATGGTGTGAACGTTTTATTAAATCCTACCATGATCCACCCTGCTGGGGTATGTTAACACACATTATGTCATATTATTGAGTATGGTAACATATTTTTTTCCAATTATTGAGTATATGGTTGACGTCAATATCTATCTATCTATCTATCTATCTCTCTCTCTCTCTCTCTCTCTCTCTCTCTCTCTCTCTCTCTATATATATATATATATATATATATATATATATATATATATATATTTTTTTTTTTTTTTTTTTTTTTTTTTTTTTTTTTG